CATCTTCTATGGTGATACTCCACGGTCTCCTGGTAATCATTAGATAAACTCAAGATAAAGGAGGATGGGAGGCATGGAATTATTGTAAATTACCCTCACCCACATACTGACAGAGGTGACAAATATCACAAGGTACCAGGAGTGATCATCTGGGAATGTGCTTCATAGCCTCACCCCCTTCGCACCTCATATTTGATATTAAGCACCTATGACAGAAGAAGTGGAATGTAGCTCTGTGCACATATCCAGCAGTTACTGAGTGTTCTGGGTCTCCAAGGTGACTGTTGCCCCTTCCGTGGGGGTAGCCACCGTCTCACACACTGGGGCACCCAGTACTCAGAAGTCAGTCAGATTCCTCTATTGCATGTTAAAATATTGATCGGTCACAGCTTGTGGTTGGCGCAAAGTGCTGCCTGCAATCTTTCTTTCGCAGTTCTCAGAGCTGGAAGATGTGTTCTGATTGGTCAGGATGTTGCCATGGAAATGCAGCAAAGACTGGCAGTCTCTGGGACCTCTTACTTTTCCATGAGAAAGGTGCAAATTATGTACAAATACCTCCTTTCTATTGCTTTAAGTTATAACCAATTGCCCAAACTAAGCAAAATTTAGAATTGGCAGGTCCGTAGAACATTACCTGGATCTCTGGATTAATAATCCAGCAATAACAGCACTAGGCCTTCATCTCCCCCAAACTGCAAGCTTTGCCCAGGCCACCAGGAAGGTCTACTGGCAAGGCTTCCTCCTGCCATTAATGGGATACAGCATTTCCCTCTTTTCCCAGAAGGCCTGGAGCACGAGGACTCCGTAAACCCCGGGAACAACTTGCTCTTGCTCTGTGACATCTGCTCGGGGATGGGGGTGGCCAGCTCTGCCTCCTGCTGCTCTTACCTTGCCATGGGTAAAGGCGTGACTGCTTGGACTTTAAGGATGAATCTTAAATCTGCCCCAGTGGAGCTGATCCCGTATGATTCAGTGTTTAAACTCGCACTGCAATCTTTTTGAAAGCACGTAATCATGTGAGAGAAATTGTCCTGGTTCATTACAGAGGGAGGCCCTGTATGACACCTGATCCATGCCCTCTCTTAATATCCGTGGTAGATCTCCCATTCCATTGTCTAGAGGATGGAAAAAGGTGACAAATATTTGCTGGCATGTAATCACATGGAAACCAGGTTTTACGTTCTAACTCATTCCGTCATTGCCATCTGAATGAAGCCTGAAGCTTTTTGCCCAACCCATTCACCAAAGTGAGGTCCTTTACCTGAATAAGCAATGAAGCCTCACAGAGAGATCAAACGTCAGGACATCTACAAATTGGGAAAGTTTGAGGTTGGAGGCTGCACGCCCAGATTCTGTGACAAAAATCAAGCTGTCCTGACTCAGAGTTTTTAGCTATTCATTTTGGAAGTGAATGCAGCTGTGCAGAAGGTTAGGGACACCTTTTCTTTGTGAAAGACATGGTGCACAATGGAAATATTGCTAACCCAGCTGACACTCAGAAGGATTCTGCTGTGAAAGGTTTGTTTAGACATGTAGTTCAGAGCCTTCCTATCGAGAACGTAGATAAATATTGAGTATAGTTTAATGATAGAATGAATAACTCTATGCAGGGAGTGAGAGAGCAATTGAATAATAGATTCCTAGCACCAGCACTGAAAGCTCAAGGTTAAGGCTGGAAGAATGAAGAGTGAAGAGTTCAGAAAATTTCTCACACAGAGCTTATGGCTGAAGAGACAGAAACTGTAAAATGGTTCATTTATTGATTCAGAAAGGATAGCATCTTCAGCCTTTAATAAGACCATAGGACATGGAAGCAGTAAAAGGCTATTCAGCCCATCAAGTCTGCTCTGCCATTCAATGAGATCATGGCTGATCTCATAATCATCAACTCCACTTTTCTGCCTTTTGCCCTAACCCTTGAATCGCTTAATGATTAAAAAAGTCTGCCTATCTCAGCCTCGAATAAACTTAAACTCAACCTTAATAGCTGAGTTTGGTGACAAATTTTACAGCAAGGGGAATGAATAGGGAGAAACAGCAAGGGCAGTGACAGCGTGGGGAGTGATGAGGGAGTGACAGCGATGGGAGGGAGTGAGGGGAGTGATGGGGGGAGTGACAGCGAGGGGAGTGACAATGAGGGTAATGACCTCAAGGGGAATGATGAGAGAGTGACAGCGAGGAGAGTGATAGGGGAATTACAGTGAGGGGAGTGCTCGGGAATGACAGTGAGGGGAGTGATGGAGAAGTGACAGTGACTGGAGTGATGGGAAGTAACAGTAAGGAGAATGATGAGGGAATTACAGTGAGGGGAGTGATGGGGGAGTGACAGCGAGGGGAGTGATGGGGGAATTACAGCAAGAGGAGTGATGGGGGAGTGGTAGTACGGGGAGTGATGGGGGAGCGATATTAAGGGGAATGACAGCGAGGGGATTGACAGTGAGGGGAGTGTAAGGAGTGACAGTAAGCAGAATGATGGGGGAATTACAGTGAGGGGAATGATGGGCGAGTGACAGCGAAGGGAATGATGGAGGATTGACAGTGAGTGGAGTGATGGGGGAATGACAGCAAGGGGATTGACAGTGAGGGGAGTGTGGGAGTGACAGCAAGGGGATTGACAGTAGGGGAGCGTGAGGAGTGACAGTAAGGAGAATGATGGAGGAATTACAGTGAGGGGAATGATGGGCGAGTGATGGGGGAGTGACAGTGAAGGGAGTGATGGAGGCGTGACAGTGAGTGGAGTGATGGGGGAGTGACAGTAAGGGAATTGACAGTCAATGGGGTGATGGGGGAGTGTCAGGGAGGGAATTGACAGTGAGGGGAGTTTTGGGTGAGTGACAGCGAGAGAAGTGATGGGGACAGACAGCGAGACAAGTGACAGTGAGGGGAGCAGCAGGCAGTGGTGAAGTGAGGACACTCTCAGCGAGGACAGGAGCAGATGGGTGCACCCACAAGAGGTATTACTACAACAAAGTATCGGTAAAGATTGAGTTCCCTTGGCATCTTGGAGCACCAGGCACATATTGTTGTGTTGGGTGATGGCAAACACCTGCCACCCATTGGCACCAGATCTGCTGCCTGCTGGATTGGTTTACCATCAAATTCACCAGCGCCATCAGCTTTTGAAACTGCAGATCCTTCTAGAACTCTGCTGGAGACATATCTAGGTTCTCGAAAATGGGATTCCATAAAAACATGAGTGATAGCTGATGACTGATGCTTGCCAGAACCAGAAGTAAAATCGACCTTACACCAGTCACCTCGACGGTTATCACCCTCCAAAGTTTCAACTGGTCAATATGCATCGGGTTTGTAATAAACCTACCGTCCTCAATCTCTTCACACCCAGAAACAGACTTAAGGCATGATTGCTAAGTGACAAGAGATACCCACTCAAAACTTCATTCATGATATTTGTCTGAAGCCTAACAAATGAAGCCCAATAACGTTCCAATGAACATTGTACGAACATGAGATGCGTGATTAAAAAAACCACACTGATCATCTACTTAAAGGTCACAGAAACAGAACTGAGGAAGGATCATTGGATCCAAAACACTAACTCTGATTTCCTTCTGCAGATACAGCCAGACCTGCTGAGCTTTTCCAGCAATTTCTGTTTTTGTTTCTGATTTACAGCATCTCCAGTTCTTTCAGCTTTAATGTACTTAAAGGTCCTCACAATGTTATGGAGGAGCCCTTCAATGTGTGTTCACCCCCCATGTCTATCCATGCAGATGGATGCACGTTCTCTGTACACGTGTTCACACTCACTTTGTGTGTATTTTGTGGAATAATGGGTTAACAATAAAATCTTTTAATGAGTGTGGGGAGCTGGGCAATGGTGGCATCAGATCACGTGGAAGCGGGACCTGAGTTCACTGATATCCCCTCTTACTCACTCCAGTATATTGTGTTTATATTTCATAAAGGTTGTTGTTCACTGATGAGGAAATAGACTAAATTCTATCAACAATGCCATACATGATCTTACCACATATGTCTGTACCTTAACTCTACAATATGTGCGCAATAGTGCGCAATACACACCACCTTTGTATGTGTGCTTACACTCAGTGTAATGTCCTCTCCCTCTGCTTATGTGTCCACTGCCAGTGTATATTAATGTCACCTCCTTTGTGTACATGTATCTGGTAAAAAAGACATATGGCATGCTTGGCTTTATTGGTCAGGGAATTGACTGCAAGAGTTACGATGTCATGTTGCAACTTTATAAGACTTTGGTTAGGTCACACAGAATATTGCATTCAATTCCGATTGTCACATTACAGGAAGGATGTGGAGGCTTTGGAAAGGGTACAGAAGAGATTTACCAGGATGCTGCTTGGATTAGCGAATATGAGCTACAAGGACAGGCTAGAAAAATTCGGGTTGTTTTCTCAGGAGCGGCAGAAGCTGAGGAGAGACTTAATAGAAGTCTATGAAACTATGAGATGCATACATAGGGTTGGCGGTCAGAATCTTTTTTTTTCCCCATAGTTGAAATGTCTCATACAAGGGGGTATGTATTAGGGAGAGAGGGGGAAAGTTCAAAGGAGATGTCAGGGGCAAGTTTTTAACACAGAGAGTCCAGAACACACTGCCAGGGGTGGTGGTGCACGCAGTCAAGGGGCTTTCAGAATAAGCACATGAATATGCATGAAATGGAAGGATAAGGACCAAAGACAGACAGAAGGAATTAGTTTAATTTGGCGTCATGTTCGGCACATCGTGGGCCAAAGGACCTGTTCCTGTGCTGTACTGTTCTGTGTATCTGACCAAAGCCTGTATAATGTCAACTCCCTCTGTGTATATGTACACTGTGAGTGAATATTAATATCCACTCCTTGTGTATATGTGTGTTAACTCTCTCTGTATAGTTATGTAGGTGTGTATTGTCTGATCCCCAGGCGGCGCTCCGTGCTCTGCTATTAGAAGTCCGGGCGGGGTTATAAATCGGGAATGTATTTTTCTCTCTCTATCCGCCTCGCTCCTTAGTGTTGTAAAGATCTTCGAGCCGGCGGCTGCTTGCTTCACTCTCACAGCACAGTGTCCGAGCCTGAGCAATGGGAACACACCGCCTGGGAGCTGGCTGCATCGCACTGCTCGCTGTCCTGTGCACGACCACCGTCCGGGGTAAGTGCACCCGGGGTACAGGAAACTATTTCTGCAATTAGTTCATGTGAAGGAGCCGGCGGCAGTAGGAAGGCACGGTGAACGGGTTGAGGATCCTAAGGGAGAGGTGAAGTATTCCTGGAGGGGACTTGCCCCTAACCACTGGGATCAATGTCTGATTAATAATAGCCAGACTGATGCCACCCCATTTAAATACTAGCAGCTGTGTTTTAAAGATTCCGTTTCATTTGTGAAATTAACATCTGGATGTTTTTAATTTCCAGTGTGAAATATATCAGAAATGTACATACTGTCAAGTTAAATGAACTTGAATCAACAACTATACATTTAAATCATGTGGGCACGTTTTATTGAAATCTGTATATGAAGTATATCTCTAGAAGGGGATGGTAACAGAATAGGGAGGTCTTGAGGTGCAATGGGTGGTGGACTGGAGGGACCAAATGTGGCGATTCTATGAATACCTACTGAACGGTGCAATTCTAAAGAGCATCAAAGAAGATGAGAGGCCCACTGTTTTTTTCACAGAAATCATTGGAGGTGACTGGACTGATTAGCAAAGTGTAAAAATCTTGAGCTTTCTAAATAGAGACAAAGAGTACAAAAGTTAGGACATTGTTAAACCTGTATAAACACTTTTGGAATACTAAGAATGTTGAAGGCTTTACAGAGGGTGTAGAAGAGATTTGCTAAAATGACTGCAGGGTGAGGGATACAGGGAGTGGAGGGCCAATAGACAAGAGAAGCTGGGATTGTTTTTCTTGGAACAGTGAAGGCTAAAGGTAGATTTGGTCAAGGTGTTAAACATCATGAAGGGTTTCAAAGCAAGAAACTGTTTTCAGTGACTGAAGGGTTATGAGAAGCCATAGATTGAACAGGATTTTTAGAAAAAAGAATTCAGAGGAGACATAAGGGAAATTTTTATGCAAGGAGTGGTGAGGATTTAGAATGCACTGCCTGATAGGAATCAATAGCAACCTTACATTGATATTTGAGAGAGAAATTATTTACAGGGCTGAAGGAAAAGGCCAGTGACTGGGGCTAATTGGATTACTCTCAAACAGGCAGCATCAACTTGATGGGCCGAATCACCTTTACATGCTGTACAGTTCAAGGACAGTAAGATTCTGTAATTGCAAACCTGTTGGACATGGGGTGAGGGATAAATGGTGATTTTATCTGTTATAAAATTGGAAACAGACAATCACTATAATTCTGTCTTCACCGGGTTACAACGTTTGAATTCAGGCTAATTTCAAACAAACAACATCAAAGTACATGGAACAGTACAGCACAGGAACATGCCCTTTAGAGACTGTGCCAACACATGATGCCTCTCTAAACTAAAAAATGTTTTGCCTCTACACACGCCGTATCCCTCTATTCCCTGCCGATACATATATCTGTCAAGATGCTTCTTAAATGTTGCCATTGTATCTGCCTCCACCACCTCCTCTGGCAGTGCATTCCATGCACTTACCTCCCTCTTTCTAATAAAAGACTTGCCTCTCACATCTCCTGTAAACTTTCCCCCTTTTACCTTAAACCTATGTTCCCTTGTAATTGACTTTTCTATCCTGGGAAAAAGACTGTGACTATCCATTCTATCCATGCTTCTTATAATTTTGTAAACTTCCACCAAGTCGTCTTCAATGTTCAAGTGAAAACAAACCAAGTTCATCCAATCTCTCCTCATAGCTAATACTCTCCAAACCAGGCAACATCCTGGTAAACCGTTTCTGTGCCCTCTCCAAAGCCTTCAGATCCTTCTTTTGGTAGTGTGATGACCAGAACTGTACACAATATTTCAAATGTGACCTCACTAAAATTCTACTTTCACTATTCTCACTAAAATAACAGCCGCAACATGACTTGCCACTTCCTATACTCCGTAACCCGATCGATGAAATCAAGCATGCCTTATGCCTTCTTGATCAGCTTATCCATTCGTGTTGCCACTTTCAGGGAACTGTGGACGCCTTGATCCCTCTTTATGTTAATGCTACTAAGGCTTCTGCCATTTACCTTTATAAAATGGTTCATTTGAAAAACAGAATTCCCAAACAAAAAGTAGCTGTGAACATAATTTTTTAGACCTCCAACGTGCATTTATGGACTGCTTTTAACTGTAGGACAAACCGGAAACGAAGTGGAGTCATTATCTCAGCAGCACAACTTGTTTCCAAATGTCTCAGCAAAGTTTAAATTCCTGTTCCAGGCTAGCCTTTCTGTTCCAATTAATCTTCCTTTAAATGCCTGCAGAAGCAACATTTGTAACGAATTTGGAATTACATTTATAGCACTTCTGCGAAAATATATGGGGAGTCTTGGAAATCTTTGATAAGGTGAAAGATTGTGGTAATCATAATTATGAGGTAGCAGCAACTCCACAGTTTACAACAGTGAAACTTTTCTGCCTCTATCCTATCACTTACTGCCATTTACTCTGTCATCACTGACCTAGCTAACCCATGGTTCCCTAAAGCTTTAGATTTAAAATGTTCATCCTTATGTTTAAGTCCCTTTGTGTCCTTGCAGCTCCTTCTCTAACATCATCCAGTCCTCGGTAAACTATGTCAGGAGATGCCTAAGCTGTGGCCTTTCCCTACTGAGCCTTTGTACACTTCCAGCAGGTCTGGGTTGATCCCATTCCGCAAAGTCTAAATCAACTCAATTGCTGGGAAATAGTGATCATAATATAAATGAAGTTTGAAATGATGTACTTCACAAATATGAATCTTAAAACTAAAAATAGCCAAATACATAGGTATGAGGGGGGTGCTGGTAATGGTTCATTAGGTAAATAAATGAAAAATTATGTTGATAAATAAAGTGGGAAACATTTAAAGAAACAATTCAAAACGTTCAACGCAAATTCATCCCTTTTAAAAACAAAAGTTCAGCAAGAACATTCTGTCCATGGTTTACTAAGGAGGTTAAATTCAGTATTGAATTAAAACAAGAGACTTTGCAAAAAATGTTCATAAATCTGAGGATTGGAAGTGTTTTGGAAATCACAAAAGGGCCACCAAAAAGACGACAAAAAGATGACAAAAAGAGACAAGATAGAATTTTACAAGTAAATAAAAAGGAAGAGAGTAGCTGAAGTAAATGTTGGTCCTTTAAGCAGAGACAGGAGAAATCATCATATGAATAAATGGCAAAGTCATTGAACCAATTTTCTGATCCTGTTTTCCCTATACAAGACCTAAGTTATGTACTGCAGATAAAGGATGAACTAAGGGCTATTAGGAAGAAGGAACTTGAGAAATGTAGATACAAAGAACGTAGGAGCAGGGGCAGGCCATTCAACCCTTCAAGCCTGCTCCGCCACTCAATATGATCATGGCTGATCCTCCAACTCAGTACCCTGTTCTCACTTTCTCCCCATAATTTTTGATCTCTTTAGCCCTAACTCCTCCTTTAAAACATTCAATGATATGTCCTCAACTGTGGCAGAGAAATCCTCAGGCTCACCAAACTCTGGGTGAAAACTTACATAGTTTAAAGATAAAGGATCGGAGAATTTAAGAGATAGTAGGAACTGCAGATGCTGGACAATCTGAGATAACAAGGTGTGGAGCTGGATGAACACAGCAGACCAAGCAGCATCAGAGGAGCAGGAAGGCTGATGTTTTGGGCCTAGACCCTTCTTCAGAAATGGGGGAGGGGAAGGGGGTTCTGAAATAAATAGGGAGAGAGGGGGAGGCGGATAGAAGATGGATAGAGGAGAAGATAGGTGGAGAGGAGACAGACAGGTCAAAGAGGCGGTGATG